TATATATATATATATATGTGTGAAATATGGCAGAAATTGCGGAGAGATTATGTCGACTCTTAAGAGCATTGATTTGGCTATGTTCTTCAATTCCTCGAGACCAATTCGTGATCTTTCGACAGAAAAAAGTTCGATTTTCTTAGTATAAATGTTACGAATCAGAGCAGTATGAAAGCTTGTAAAGAAAAATATTTTAACATCTATTAGACACTAATACTTTTTATTGAGTTTTAGGTTTTACATATCGGGTAACAATCTTATGTGATTTTGTGCTTTGTAATAAATTAATCTAAATTTTCTACTTTTTATTGTATTCTATATAGCCGGGACACTTTCTTTTTTCGTATTTTTTTTTCGTAATTTTTTTTTCATTTTGGTAAGTATTTCCTCCTACCTTTATCAATCCATTTCTTTTTCCGAATAAAAATTTTCAAATTTAACAGACATTCATTTTCTTAGTATTTTTTAACAAGTGTCTTAATAACAGATTTTAAATAACAACTTATTTTCAAGTATTAATAAGAGAATTTGTAAATTATTTTGTCTAAAATGTCGCGTTCAAAAGTGTCCAGAGGATCTTTCTTGTACATATATAATATTTTTTATCACGTAATTGAGAAGAATGAACTTTTAATTACTTATCATGCATTGCAACGTTTCATTCGTGCACTAAAAAAAGAAAAAGAAGAACGAAGAATCAGAAAAATTATGTCAAATTCACGGGACGTACGAAAATGTCTCGAGGGGCTTTGCTTTGGTTAAACGCGACTGCAAGCCAACCGAACATGTCCAAGCGAACGATAGTTCGTTGTACAGTTGCAGATTCAATATCATTCGGTGTAATTTACACTTGCTGTAGCGGACGGAAATTCATGAAATATTCAAGACCATACGTTATTCTTTAACTGTATCGTGTATGGACAGACAAAGACGAGGTGGAAAGTGGAATCGTACACTGCGTTATCAAACGTGGCGGAATTGTCGTAGGCAGAGCAGGATCAACGATCAAATCACCAAGTGTCACGGTGATTTAAATTTAATCGTCGCGGTTCGATCCGCTCTCGGATTGATTTAAATTCATTCGCCGTGGCCGCGCGAGCACCTTAAAACAATCCGTCTTTGACGAGCGATCGCGATTGCTTGGCAACTTGGATTTTACCAAGTCCAAGGGTTAAATTAGCCTTTAATTAGACGTTAGGTCGCTCGCAGCACAGATTGAATTCGCAGCGAAATGAAAATCGTCGATTCCGGCGGCGACGTTCGCGGATTTCCTGCGTGCAAAGTTTTGTCGCCGGGGCGCTGTGGCGTCGGTTTCAAGGCTTCTTCTTGCTGCCTTAAGCCGCTGTGCAATATCATTTTACGTACTGCTGGATGGACTATCGTTTGGCACGCGAGCGAACATGTTAAATCGCGCTTCCGGGTTTTGCTTTCGATTCCCTGGATACACACGTGTCTTTTATCGAGCGATCGATAACTTTTTCTGTAGCCATTTTGTATTTTCTGTTTGCGAGGCCGCGTTGCTACGAAACGCGCCCTTAATTAAATACCAGAAAGTCAGCTGCAAACGTTTGATTGGAAATTCGAAGTTCGGGCGAAAGTTGCCATCTTCTCGTTCGTCTGCACTCTAACGAGATATTAAAAATGGTCGCGTTATTTGATCTCGTTGAAAGTATAGACATTCGTTGGGATCATCTCAGGATTGCAAATTTTTTCGAAAAACGTATCACGGTAATTGGCTCGTAGACAATAATTTGTCTCTGAAATCCCATAACTGGCCGACCATTCCATTGTTAAACGTCTCTGTTCGGTTTTCGCCAGTTGCCACAATGTCCTCGCGTTACGTCCGGATATAACAAAACTCGATAATGGCTCGATAGCGAGAAAGTATCCCCATCGGATAAAGTCAACGAATTTCCCAGCTACTGTTCGTATTGTTGAATTTTTATTATATTAAGAAGCACGAAAGAAAGCCCTCGTTCGTCGTTTACAAATTCCAAATGGTCGAAGTAGAGCTACTAATTTTAGAGTTATAAACACTTGTACTTCAATACAATGAAATACTTTACACTCGTTTCTAATTTCTAATTTTTTTGGAAGGAAAGGGAAGCTAGATTTAAAAAAAAAAAAAAAAAAAAAAAACGAAGAGCACCGAAGCCTAGACAGACACCAAAGCTCCTCCTCTCTGCTGTTCGTTGGATCGTAGAGTGAAGTCAGAGGACTCGGCGAATAAATGCGCGAAGTGCAAAATTCATCCCCCGGCGGCGTTGATTTTTTTTCGCGCCTGAAATTACGTTTCGTCGCGCCGCATTTAACTCGACGACTGTAATATTGCGAGAAAGTACGCAGCACGGGCAGATGAAAAGTATGATGGAATTAGGGTCGGCTGGTATTGCAGATATACAGCGTGGCCCCACCCCAAAGGGTTAGCGAAGCTTCTTCTTTTTTTTTTTTTTTTTTCATTGACGCTATCGAGAGGGGTAAGAGGCGGAGTTTGGTCTCGTTACATCGATATTCAGAGGCTTGTGAATACTTCTCGGTAACCTCCGTGACCGTAATTCGTCGACTGGCTGCCTCGTCACGTTCGTTGCTCGTCGCATCAATCCTCTTTTTCCCACTGCATTGGTCGAGATACGACGTTTCGGGAACAGTGAAGAATCAAAACGATATATCGTACGAAAACGGAAGGAAATCTTCGCGGCAAAAAAAAAAAAAAAAAGAATCAAATTCTGAGTACATCAGCGATCTCTGTGCTGAATGTGATCCTTATAGGTTGCTTGCCATGAAATTGCCTGCCAAAGAGCAATTAATTAATTATTTTCTTAAAAAGGTTATTTCAATTTGCTCGTTTTCGTTTTTGCTCGAAATCAAAAATTTATTATTACTATTGTTGTTGTCATTGTCATTGTGAATCAGTTAAGTGACACATCGACTATTAGGTTCTTAACAACATAGGGGAATTGTATTTCTGCTTGAATAATTTCTGATAGTAGGTACAGATTCTAATTATTAGAATCTAGTAACATTCAACTTATATTTGAATCTTCGATTTTTTTTTTTTTTTTTAATAGGCAATTTTTGATGGTAATAATGAATGTGTAATAATGTTTGTACGAAACTATTAAGAAACAATATTTATGTACATATGTATATATATATATATATATGCATGTATGTATGTATGTATGTGGATATACTATTATATACTTTGTGAAATCTATTTTATTTTATTATGTCATAAAATTTTATTATAAAACGAAAATAAATATAATCTGTAATTTATTATAATTATATTATAATTTATTATAATTTCTATATTATAAAATATATAGATAATATATTAATGCATATATATATTATCACAAATAAACAATTATAACATATAGAAGCAGAATTCACTGTAATAGTACAATTTTTTACAAATGTGTCGAAAATTGTTCATTTCCGTGAGAAATAACCTCGATTTTCCGCTCCAGCGATCTAAAATACCCGCCCTGAAATGACAAATTTCAGCCAGAAATTGTTTTCCGGTTGCAGCTAGAAACTTTCGGTATAATACATCGAATAACTGTCTATAGAGACCTTATTAACCAACTGTTTTTGCTATAGTAGTCGTCATCGACTTATTATGTCAAGTGGATGACATAATAATAATATGCCGGCCTCAGTATCCCATCTGTTTAATCAGCATAATTAAATTCTTTTTCCGGACAGGATTTCTTTTCCAATTTTTTCGCATTACTCGATAAAAAAAAAAAAAAAAAATAGAAGTTGAAGTTAGACTTGTGTAATATATTTTCTCTCTCCCAATCCACAATATTGTGATACTCTAATGACACTCTATAGAAGTATAGATATTGAGCTCAATCTCCCAATCACGTCATCCGCTAGCAGAGACCCACCGACGAAGATTACTACAACGAAAACCGTTGTATTGTCAATGCCTGTAGACAGAATTCAATGCACTGTACATGAAGTTATTTTATTAAATAAGGAACTAAGACGAATATTCGAAGCTGAAATTTTATATTTGTGGTTTTCTCCGCCTTCCCTGTATCTCTTCACAAAATTTGATGCTTGGATCAAGGATTGGTGCTTTTTAGAATAATGTCCCTTTTTCTAAATCGTGGAAACGGAAGCACTCACGTGAGATGCTCGTCAACTTTTAGTAAAAACAAATCTAGTATAAATATCTTTTTAAACATGTTTTAATAAAACATTTATTTATCATAATATACGAATATCGGTATGATTTTATATTCTTTTAAATAACAACGATATACATACATATAGACATTAACTCTGCTGTGATGTTAATTCTACTCCAGAGAGTCCAACAGACAATATTTACAGTTAAACAAACCATAATTTAATTATTAAATCAGTCATATGTCGCTGGATCCCCACGTGTATACTGCTGGGTTAATAATTTAGTAGATTTTTATGAAAGTGCAAGTTTTATCTTTAGTTATTCTTTAGGAATTGGTTTAAAAGTGGTTTCTAGTATAATTTTTATCATTTTAATGTTATTTTCTGTGTTATCGATGATCATTCTCTTTTAATATTAATTCAAATTATGTCAAATAATTACATTAAAAATTATTTTGGATTTTGTTGGACGTTTGACTCATCATAAATCCTTCTCCTAAATTGTCTGTCTAAAAAGACCCGTACAAATCAATATGGTGTCATACTAATCTATCAAATAGTACACTTAACTTTATAGCTGTATAATTTTTGAACCAGTGGATTCCTAATTTTTGTTCCATAATTGACCATAATTTTTTATCCCCTAAATTTAACCAATTTTTTTCTTCAAACAACATTCGCGGATGATTTTTTAATGGTCGGGTTTTAGGCGAATCTGTATAGTTCTTTCTTTTTTATTCAGGTGACCTGATAAAAATACACGATATGCTAAATTATGTGTTTTACAATTCGAAATCTAATTGTCTAGGTGTCTCAAGCGTAGAAATTGAGAATGTTGCGTGATCCAGGCTGCTGCGAGAATGGCAAAGAAAACAACCACGCACAGACACGTACTTAATTTGTTTGTCCGTGATTCCTCGCGTCCTACTCTTATAACCTATTATCCCATCTTTAATCGTTCCGACAGAATGCGCGTTCGATTAAAACTTTCTAAAATTACGTGGCGCGCTCGTCTCCGTTCTTCCGTTCTGTTGAACGGAAGTTCGGTTAAGAAGAAACTAATAAGCGTGGAGAGCGTTTTTACTAAAGCATTTTTGCTCTTAATCTTCGATCTTCCGCTTGACACGCTATCTGCCAATAGAGTTCATTAAATTCGCAATAACTGGAATTCTTTATCGCAGCGGGCAGACTAATTTCTGCTCTTTCTTCGAAACATTTGATAAGAAACTCTCGCGAAACTTTCTGTAGAAGCTAACATAGAAATTTCGATTCGATACGATCGGAGTAATCCTATTGTTTGACTTTTTGCTTGGCTGATGCGTGCATCCAGATAATGCTGGACTAAAGCAAAACCTGCTAAGCCGTGCAATCTCGTTAACGAGCCGAACCTATGCAACAAACGTGCACGATGTCAGTTCAGAAGCAACTGATGACCACGTTCCTGTTGACCGATCCTAGGGAAATTTCAAGTACTTTCATATCTTCATCGTTTATCACAATGACGACGCGTCTTTGAGAACATTATTCTGAAACCTGGGCATCAGATTTTAGGGATGATTCTCGCATCCCCCCCCC